AGCCCCCGCCGCCTGCACCCCGGGCCCGCAGCTCCCCGGGCCGGCACCGCCGCGCCAGAAACGGCGGGACAGCGCCGGAGCCATCCCGCCGAGGGACGGCGCGGCCTTAACGCGCTTCTTGGGACACAAGGAGCACCCGGCACCTACCGCGGCGAAAGAGTCCGGTGCGCTGTGCCCTGGCACCCGGGGGCCCCAAAACCAGCCTCCGGGGTTTTGGATCCGGGGAAGTGTTCTTAAGTCTGGGGCACTGTATCCTGATTTACGCCGGTTTTTACGTATCGTGCTTTTTATGGTTAATTCAGGAATGAACGAGCATAGGGCATCGTATGGCGCAAGGCAGAGCGATAAGGAGGCAGCATCCCTAGGCAGTTTATTGGGGTCTGATGGCAGGGGCCCTCCAGCATCCCCCCGAATCCCACCAGTAGATCACACATCGCTGCTGCGGCCTGGGAGCCGCCCTGTCACATACACACGGTGACGGGGCAGCAAACGAGATCAATCAAAACAAAGAATTAATGCAGGTACTTGCAGTACACGGGAAAAATCAAATCCTGAGTGCAACTTCGTGCTTTAGCACTGGAAAAATGCAGATTTGGTACCTTGGTTTTAGTCTGTTGAACTGCAATAACATAATTGCTACTCAAAGGAAAACACAGCAGCTGCCAGTACTGTACACTGGCACAGAAGTACCATCATAAAATACATACAGTTCCAGGCCCTGTGAGTTTGGGCCAATCTTTAGTCAAATTGTGCCAGGCGAGCAGAGAGATTTACTGTCATATTCTGTGAGAAAGCTGCTATTTCTAACTCACAACAGAAATCCTGATTCCAGTGTATCCCCAAGATTTGTTTCCACCATCAGGGTTATGCCCATCTCTGCCTCTTTTGGCCCTGTATCAGACTGGATGAAACCAGTAGCTACATTCTCCTGACCAGAAAAATAGAAATCTGAAGATACGTTTAGTGCCTGGATTTTTTGATGGAGTAGCCGTGACTACATTTCTCTGCTACTACTTTTGTGGAGGAGTTTAAGATTGAGGTGTCAAAACCGGAGAAGACAGCAAGGTCTCTGTGCTGGTTCCACCATTTCACAACATGAGAAGGTACTGTGAATCCAAATGTTTTGGTGCAAAGAGGCTGCTTCCCTTCACGCTTTGCAGTGTTGTAACTTAGTAGAGCTAAACTGAATCAGTTTGAAGGTTCAATGCTTTCTAGAAAAGGTCAGATTTGTCATACACTAAATAATCAACTCATTTTTAACTGAGGTTTTTAAAAAAATCCTTCTCTTTAACTATCCTTCCCTACTGAGCTGCCTTTAATTACCTTCCACTTCTCTGACTATACACTTGCTTTTAATATGCAAACAACACTATAGCGTCTGCTCATAAGGCAGCAAGCCATGTTGCTTTTTTTTTTTGTCATTAAGTAGGTACATTGAAACACAAGACTTTCAACTTCCTTTGACTTTTATCTTTTTTTTTTTTTTGTCTTGTGCAAGAGACTTCAGAATAAATTTTGAATTAGGCTGATGTTTACTACTTAATTCATGGTAGCAGAACCAAAATGCCATCCATCTTGCAGCTCTATTCTGGTTGCTTACAGAAAGGATAACTGAAAAGCAATTAGATTAGGGATCAAACAGAATCACCCCTGAGGAATTAGGAAATCTTCAGTCTTGTAAAACAGGGACAATTTCTTGAAATAGAAGTCTTGGCTTTACTCCATGTATGCAAAGAATTTCAGATTCACATTTCTGCAATGCTGCCTGCAGATGGCTTATGATACGCAAATACTGTTCAGGTATAAGTGCTGATAATGCAGCAGCAGATGTAAAATCCACTATTTCCATCTAGTGGTGAGACAGTATTCCAACTGGAAGTAAATGGACATCCAGCTACCTACCTGTGCAGAACATTGCCTTCTTTGAATCCTCCCACAAGTCATTTGGTTTGGTTTATTCTCCTTACAAATTCTTCCAGTCTAGGCATGTAAATTCATTAAGACGTAAGAAGAAAAGAGAATCTTATCTCTCTTTTCTGAAATGCAGACTGTTAGCATACAGTGAAAAATCTCTCAATTTCTACAAAAATCTAATGTTTTGCAAATTAATCTGGTGATATTGATTACTGGCTGTGATACAGTAAGTGCCGCATCTCAAAAACTCTTTGAAACAGGATAGGGCTGAAATTTGTGACATCTCACATAGCAAAATGAAGTAACTAGAAGGACCAGAGGTGTATCCTTCTGGGTAAGGTACAAGTGGACTGGGCTACAAAACGTGGTATTTTTTACTCTGACTGTACATTATATATATTGGTCAAATACGGTTCCGACTTTGACAGCCAAAATGAAATGGTCAGCTGTTTGGAGATGCTTGGGCCACAGTGATCCGTCTCTGTAAATCCCAATTCCTGCCTGGTTTGAGGGTACCATCATGGTCAGTTTTGTTTGGTGTGCGTAGGTTCCTTTTCTCTCTAGATATACCCAAAGAGAAGCAGCGAATACACATATTCATATGGAAAGCATTGAATTCCTATGCCACGTATTGCTGTTTCAGCACAGACATGTGAAGTTCGCTGAAGTTTTGCTCATTTCCACATTAGACTATACATTGTCCAAGAGAAGAAGAATCAAATTTACAATGAGAAGTGTAAGTTTTTCCGTGGAAATTAGCTGCACGGAAAGCACGTAGCCATGGTTGGGAGCAACCACCACCTTGGCAGCTTGGGCCTGCCAGAGTGAATGTTTTCCTGAGGTAGTCAAGCCCTTGTGCCTTGTAGGAGGGGAGGCTATTACAGTCCTTCATTACCAAGTGCAAAGAAATAGACCAAGGCAAAAGAGTGCTTGGAGACCTTCATTCTACTCCTTTGGGCAAGCGTGCATCGTGCAGTGATGCTTCATCTGATGTTGAGAGTTGGGAAGCTGTGGCCAGAAGTGTTTGAGGTTTCTCTTCACGTAGCCATAGCATCACCCATTGCATGCAAGGTAAGCCATATTTTGTCTTTTGGAGTCATAATACCTGCTGCTTGGGCAGGGCAGAGCACCACCTCCTCATCTGCAACATATCGCTGATCAGGTTGCATAGGAGGTGTAACTTTTTCCCTAGACCTTTACTCATTAAACTGCCCATATGTTTAACTTGGAAGAAACCCAATCTGATGGTGCTATACTTTGCTTTACTGTGTAAGAGGGAGGATCTCGCTTTCCTTCTAGGATACAGACATACTGTGTATATATATAGAACCTTCTCTAAGTGGTAGGCTTCTTCTAGTCAAGATTACCTCTTAAGAAAGCCTTTAAAAATTGCCAAGAAAATTGGACACCACAGACCAAATTTTACTCTTCAGCCTATCCCTAGCTGTGAAAAGAATTAAAGCAGTCCATGAATAATAGTTACTCAGCCCCAGGGCATGGATGAGAGAAATTGCATAGGTAGCACAGCTTTGTTTCTGTTTCCTTGTTGTACAAGTGTGGTTTTCCCTTCCCAGCCATGTCATCATTGGGCAGACATGATGAAACACGTGCTATGGTTGCATAGCTGGCCTAGGTAAGCTTTACTCCAGCACAGGAGCTACTTGCTTGGGCAATACTAGACCAGGGATTATGAAACAACACATGAACCTGCAAGTTTTCATTTGTATGTCAATATGCACAAGATCTTCTAGTGTATCGGCATTTCATTACCTCTGAGCTAAAAGAGCTGGGCATAGCCTGTGTTTTATCAGTGAGCTTTGTGCAATACTTCTCAGTTTTCAAGTCAAAACAAAGCCATCTTACTCTCCATAATGGCTTTTAGCCTAAACAGCGTGGGTCCAAGGCGTCCTTGCTGTGGTTCCGACCACTGCTGCATCTGCTCTGGGTGGCTGGCTGCTGGGGACAGGCAGGCTCACGCATGCCCACGTGCAGTGTCGAGCCAACTGGAGCCCCCATCCTTGCTGATGCCACAGAGCACTACTATAATGCAATTAACACACCGGCAACCTCAGCGTATGTCCTGCACACTGTCAGCAACGCGTTCAAAGCAAGTTTAAAGGGAAATGCTTACATCGAGGGCAAAGTTTACTGTGGCAATGGTGTGACAGCCACCAGTTGTATCCTGCCTCAATGACAGGAGAGAAAGCTCCAGAGCCTGCAGTGACCAGAAAGAGCACTCCAGGCTTCATTTTCCTCATTTCAGACAAAAATGACCTGATGTCCATTCCAGCCCAGCTCACAGCAACTGCAGATATACAAGCTTGTGTCTAACTTTGGAACCTTTGAGAAATCCTCTTTATTTAGCAGCAGTATGTACCCTGAATAGCAAACACCCACATATTAGGATAAAAGTATTTCTATTTATCTTCAGAATTTGATAATCCGCATGGTCATTACAATGTTAAAAAAGAGATCAGGATGACTACAAAAGCATATTAGCAGGGGATACCTGCTCAAAGAGGGGACTTTCAGACTGGTAATACTCTGGCATGGCTGTTTAGAAACCTCAGATGTACAAAAAAATTATCCCAAATAAATCTATGAATAAAGCCAAATAAAAACCTCAACTTCGGCCTTTCTGTGTGGTTTGGAACAATAAGGACATAAGGGCAAGGACAAGGAATGGCAAAATGATTTGGAGTAAATTAGGAAGAAATTTTTCACTGTGAGGGTGGTAAGACACTGGCACAGGTTGCCCAGAAAAGCTGTGGCTGCCCCCTCCCTGGCAGTGTTCCAGGCCAGGTTGGACGGGGCTTTGAGCAACCTGGGCGAGTGGAAGGTGTCCCTGACCATGGCAGGGAGGTTGGAACTAGATGATCTTTAAGGTCCCTTCCAATCCGAACCACTCTATGATTATATGAAATAATGATAAAATAAATACTTCTACCAGTGATGAGTAATTAGCCTATGAAATTTAGAATCATACATTACAGATGTGCCCATATCCACTGGATTTTGAAAGGTGATTATAAAGTTTTAGCATTGCTTTTTTGATTGTATATTATGAGTTTCATTACTAAGGATATTAATCTACCACTATGAAGGTAACCTCAGGAAAAAAAGTTTGATTTATAGTTATAATGATTTCACTACTTTTCATTCTCAGGATGACACCAAAGAAAGCATTAGAGCTCTAGAAATCTGGAGGGCAGAGCCTGACCCATCAAGGGAAGGGTCTTCTCAGTGTGATGTGGATACCCCAGCATCATGGAGTGAGAGGGACTTAACTGTTGTTCTTCCTGTAGAGCAAAATCCTGTCATAAGGTGTTAGGAATAAGTGTAGCCTGTCCACCAGATCAGGGCTCCCAAAGAATTTCATCCTGGGACAACAAGGGCTTCGGTGTGAAATAGATCCTCAAGCCACTGTTGATGAAGGATAGCTTTTGCCAAAAAGCAGAGTCTCCTCACACCTACATGCAGTGGGAAGAGACAGGCTCTCCCCGTGTTGTGTCGCTCAAGCATTAGCTTCCAGTTCTGACTTGCCTTTCAGAAAAGGCCTCCTCTTTCATGGACTATAGAATCTAGGGAAAAACATTTGGAAGCTAAAGTTAACTTTTACTATTATCCCATTCCCCTGGCCAACACACTAAGTTTGCCAAATGTGTTGACTACATGATTCGTGTTCAAAAGATCTTCTAAGAAAATTCTTGCCTCTGGCATCTCAGGCAACCATGCAGGACTGGCAGGTCTTCTCCAGTTTGTTGTTCTAGACTTGAAAAGCCACATGGTATTTGGGTTTACATAGAATCATAGAATCATCCTTGATTCCCTCTCAAGATACGATCTTACATATCTAATATCTAGGCCAGAGAAAAATCTATAAGGAGGTAAGAAATTACATTACAGTTTCCTGATTTTTTCCTATGCTTCTGACACAAGGTAACTTCTAGTACTGATTCTGGCTCTTTTTCTTTTATGTGCAGCTTAACCTGATACTGATCTACTTATGTGAAGGAAAGCAAGAATTAATCATCCGATTCTTAAATTTGCCATTTCCAGTAAATACTTTGGAATTCATTTGAGAAGTGGATTTCAAAGACAAGTTCTATAAAGCCCCACCTAGAAAAAAAGATACTTTAAAAACTCCATAAAAATCATTATCATTTATTTGTGCAACTGATTTGAACCATTCACTCACCAGCAATGAAAAGACAAATCAGTCAATCTGTACAAGAACTGTGTTTGAGATTACAAATTTGCTGGCTTTGTGTGCTGACCATGCTATTTTTACAGTAAGGCTGGTCTTTGACTCCTTGCTGAAAAAGGGTGGAGGGGTCAAAAGAAACAGAGTAGTGCCTGAGTAAGGAAGGAACCTGCTGCGCTGCCTCCTGCCTGTCCTCTGAGTTTCCTGCAGGGATTGCCAGTCTGAGTTGTGAAACCTGTCCATAAAGGACTCCTCTTTCCCAGACTTTGCTCAAACTGACAGAGCATTTTCTTCGCAAATAGGTCTGCTGGTTCACTTTTCCTGCTATTCTGTCTTAAATGTTCTTTTCATATGTAAGCAAGTCAAACTGCCTCATCCAGTGAAGCACAATGCAGAGATCTCCTTTGATACACTAGTAACCTCTGCTGGCAAAGCTGCCAGCTCGTAGGAGACTGCTTTAAAACAGAGAAGCAGTCTCTACACTCACCTTAAACTCTGTTTTCAAGCACCACTTTGAAACTTAATAAGACATGATCGAAATCTGCTGGCAACTCCTTTGCCCTCACACCTCTAACATCTACCCCTGGGCACAGCCTTAGTTTTGTAAAATATTGAGAAGGCCAACTCAACGTAAAGACAATTTGCTGTTAAGTTAAAGAGGATCAGAAGCAAAGCAGCACCTCTAACCATTCGTGATGCTCTGTCTCAACGTTTCTCAGCGTACAGAGCGAGGGTGAGCGGCAGGAAAAGAACAAGGAGTTGTCCACCACAAGCAAAGCACATTGGCTACTTGAAGCTACTGCAAGCTCTTGGCAGACAATAAAAGGCTCAGAAGAGTGACTCAGGCCTTCTAGAGAGAAAAGGTGAGACTAGATGAGATCAAATAGTACCAGGAAGGAAAAAGGCTGTTCCGCCAGGAGAAGGGAGGAGGGAAGCGGAGCTGAGAGGCACTACTGAAAGGTGACCTGTCAGTCTGAAGGTGACCCCAAGCCACCTAGTGGAGAAGCAGGGCCCAGCATCTGGGGAAACCGGTTGCACACACAGAGGATGAGGTGGGCAGTAAGCCAGCAACTGTCAAATTGTAATTCTTAAACTGTAAGGGGAGCATACACCTGCCCAGGGAGAGTATGCATGCAGAAGATACATTTGGGAATCAAAGTCTTCAGAACTGTTAAATACAGTTCAAGGATGCTGAAACTGAGGGGAAGTGTGTGGTTCCTTACACCATATAAAAACTCCTTGGTCATTCGAAATTCATATATAGTAGAGGTGAAGAACTAGAAAAAGCCAACCATAACTAGTGCATTCTTCCACATCTAACAGGGCAAATACTTCTGGGCAATTTTCTGAAATTGGTAGATGACACCTTTAGCACGTTCACAAAGAGCAAAAAAGTGTTAGATTGCAACATTTTCAAAATAACTGAGATTTAAAGCATTTTCCACTCCTCAAGGGGGGTTTGCACAGAAATACAGTATTGCACCTATGTTTTTCTACAATATGTCATACAAAATTGCCCAAAGTGAGATTCCCGCAAATAACAAAGAACAGAATTTGCACTGGCATGCATGAACTACCTCTGATAGCATGTTTGCACTTGTTTCTACCTTGTAAGAAAGGCATCAGGACGCTGCAATTCTGTACTTACTTGTGCCTGCTAGTAGTTAAAACTTGCTATGGAAATATTCACTAACAGTGCTGCTCCCAGTGCTGCAAATATTTTAAAAGGGAGCAATACTGCAAAAGGGAGCAATGCTGCAAAAACAATGCTGCAGATATTTAAAAAGGGAGCACCCTGACCAGCTAGTGTTATCTGAACAGCACATACATCCGTTTCAGGACTATTTTCCCTACACAGTGACAAGAACTTACAAATAGGTATTTGTATGATAAACAGGTCTAAAATTATTCTAATAATTGTTTTAAATCTCCAGGCATTAGAGATCTAGGCATTTTAACATCATCACCTGCTATCAAGACACCCTACATGGACATGGTATTTCTATTTAGCTAATCCTAGTGTTTTTAGGGCCTGTTCCAGTTACTTTTGTATTTAGGCAAGCGCTCACATTTTTGGTGGGGTATAGTAATCAAGATTAGTGGGCCAGGGAATAATAACACACAAAATCAATGCTCACCCAGCCCTGCTCTGTTCTGCATGACTGACCTTAATATCCTCTATGTCCACAGCCTTAGACTGTGCATGTCAGGAAGATGTCAGAGCAGCAGGTCGCTCAGCTTTGTTTCAGTCGAACAGCAGCAGAAATTGATACTGCATGAACAGCTTGCAGCAAAGTTATGTAAATGCTTACAGAAGAAATTCATTAAAGATTAACATACTCCAAAAACAAATTCATACCTTTATCTATATGGTACAGGGAGAGCGATTTTCTATGTATTAGCATAATAATCACCAGAGGAGTACCTCCTTGCCCATACTGCTTGTTTATATCACTTCAATATTTTGTATTGAGAATGCACATTTGTAGCTTTATTTTTCTGTCCTGTACGATTTCCTTTTGTATCTTACATATTCAAATCCTAGTCATTACTTCTTTTTCATTCACAAAACATACTGGAGTTTTACCACTGCAAATTGCAACTATTAGCACACACAGCAAAAGCAGCATCAGCTAATGCCTCATCCACTGAATTGTCAGCCACCTCTCAATGGCTACATTACAGGCCTTTGGCCTAACCAGGGCAAAAAAGGTTAGGTATCGCTGCGTGAAAAGGAAAGCACCCAGTAAGAGCTTGTCTTTACAGATGCTTATCCATGCAAGTGAATTAAAAAAAAATCAGCTTTCTTCCACAGTGGAGGGGATTTATTTTGGCTATAAAAAGCCTGAACTAGGATCTTCATTCCCCAGTCTTGGGTCAGTATAAACACTATAGAAACTTATTATTACTTAACCCTTGTTTTACTCATTTCTCATTTAAGTACTTACAGATAGGCTAATTAAGATGGATATAAGTGCTTCACATCTGAACACAAGTTTTACACACTGATGTTGTACAAACTGTCAAAAAAATAAACATTAAAAAAATTCACAAAAATTATTGACATATTAAGAGGGCTTTTGAGCATATGAATAAATGATTAACCAAGGAATGAATAATTCTGCAGTTCTTTCCCCTTGAACAGTTCTCAGCTTCCCTGTAAGGCTTCTTCAGGTAGTCATGCTATACAGTGTTCTTCTAAATTGGGGGAAAAAAAAAAAAAAAAAAAGAAACCAAAAGTGGCCTTTGAACAGCCTTATTTCTATTTGGTCTACTTTCTAGGATACTCTTCTAGATTGACAGGATTTAAAATCCTCACAAACACTTTCAGATGTTCTCGTAACTCCTCCACTAGAAGGGAGCTCAGTAGCAAGTTCAGGAGCTCAGCACTCTGAAACCGCTTGGAAGAGTTGGTGGCCTAATAAAAACCAGGGTAACAGACTGCAGAGAAGGTATCCATCCCAGACTAAGTCACTCACATCTACTGTTCCCACGCCTAAGTTTCACTGACCCATTCTGCCCCTATCATCTTATCTCACTCTATCTGTTGCAAACACATGGAAGAGGCAACCATAAAATATCAAACATCTTTAGCACAGCTCTGCTTCTCCAACATACCACCCTGACTTCAGCAACCTGGTGAAGAAGTTGCAAAGAACCACCTCAACAGTGCTATTGAAAACAATGTTGCTTTCAGAAAGGACAGTGTCCATTTACAAACCACAGCAAAAGTAAGGTAAAACTAGTTTCAGATTTGTGCCCTAAATCTGCTGACAAATTAACTTTGAAAATATATGTATTACAATTTATAGAAGTCAGGCATCTGATTAACAGGCAGAACTAATGCATCTCAATAGTGCTACACCTGCAATTCTCAAAACTGGAACTTTAATCACATTTCCATTGTGAATTGAACTAGAACAAAACTATGGCACTTTGGCCACAACAACCCCCAGCAGCACTACAGGCTTGGGGAGGAGTGGCTGGAGAGCTGCCAGTCAAAGGGACCTAGGGGTGCTGATTGACAGCTGGCTGAACAGGAGCCAGCAGTGTGCTCAGGTGGCCAAGAAGGCCAATGGCATCCTGGCTTGTGTCAGCAATAGCGTGGCCAGCAGGGACAGGGAAGGGATCTTACCCCTGTACTCAGCACTGGTGAGGCCGCACCTCGATTCCTGTGTTCAGTTTTGGGCCCCTCACTACAAAAAGGACATTGAATGACTTGAGCGTGTCCAGAGAAGGACAACGAAGCTAGCGGCTGAGAGAACTGGGGGTGTTTATTCTGGAAAAGAGAAGGCTGAGGGGAGACCTCATCGCCCTCTACAGCTCCCTGAAAGGAGGTTGCAGAGAGCTGGGGATGATTCTCTTTAACCAAGTAGTAAGAGACAGGACAAGAGGGAATGCCCTCAAGTTGCACCTGTGAAGGTTTAGACTGGATATTAGGAAGCATTTCTTTACAGAATAGGTTGTCAGGCATTGGAATGGGCTGCCCAGGGCAGTGGTGGAGTCCCCATCCCTGGAGGTGTTTAAAAGTAGAGTCGACATAGCGCTGTGAGGGATATGGTGTAGTTGGGAACTGTCAGTGTTAGGTGAATGGTTGGACTCGATGATCTTCAAGGTCCTTTCCAACCTAGATGATTCTGTGATTCTGTGAAAACTGATGCACATGAAATGTATGTGCAGTTGACACCTTCACCTGCATAACCTGAAGAGAGATCAATCCTCCCAAATCCACAGAGCTGTGCAATACAGATGAGACACCTAAGCACTTACTTTAATAAATAAAACGGTTGGACATAAGGCTATAAACACTAAATAAAGCTCTCCATTTGATCTTTATAAAATATTTAATGAAATCTTCCAAAATTGAGTGACAAAAATATCACAAAACCGAACTTCAAAGTTAGCCCTATTCTCCAATTATCAAAAAAACCTAACTTACATTTCCCTTTGAGCTAAACTTAGTTACTTTTATGCAGGATGAGTAGCTCCATTGCCTTGTTACTTTAAATTGCTGAGCTAAATTTACGTTTAACAAATTTCACACTTTCTTGAAAAAGCGGAAGAAAATGGCAGGGACTTAGCAAGAGATGTAATAAATATAGTATTACAAAATCTGCTCTGTATTTGCAGCTTGCTGTTCCTCAGCTAAGTAAATGATGAGTACTTTCTAAGTTTTCTTCTAAGTTTTGTATTTACTAATTTTCAAAAATAATAACCATTCTAGTATTTTGCATTCCACTGTACAGGAATTTTGTAGGAAATAATGTCCAAAGAGATGTCTTCAACTGTGATATTAATTTAATGGCTAATGTGCATTACTCACATTTATATGCAAATACATGTGGTATTAGTCCAACATGCAGACAACAGAGGCAGCTGCTTAGACAGATGCATTCATGCATCTTAAGCCACTCTGACCCACTAGTGTTAGAAGGTTTGTTGATCCACTATGCTTTCCTTCAGCTGAAGATGGAGAACATTTAAATGGTTCGTTCTGCTGCAAGTTAAACTGGTCAGTGTTTTGGTCATCTCTCTCTTTCAGATTCTGTTGCACAGGAGAAAAGCCTTCTGTGCAGCCTGCTGTTTTTAACACATGTAAATGCAAACATAATTCTTTTTCTGTTCTTCAGTGACTCTTCTTGCTTTTCTGTTCTTCCTTAATCTCTTTTGCATTACACCTGGACCTCAATGCTGTTAGCATTTCTACTGTCGTCAAGTTGGCTCCCTTCATTATCAATCGCTCTCCATCAGCTGTAATGGGAAAAAATTTTAAGAAGTCACACAGTCTAAGTCACAATTACTTGAGTATGCAGTTCTGCTTTGTATATATAAATCCAAATACCCTGTTCATCTTGTCTGATTAAAAAGTACTCCACTTATCAAGGAACTCAATTATGCACCATCAACAAGCAAATATATTAAACTACACACAATACATATGTAATTTTCATTTCTGTATTGCATTATTGGAAAATTGGAAAAATCTGTCCAGGTAGAACTACAGTAAGAACATATATTTGATGAGAATGGCTCATACTATGCCCTCCAAGTCATCTAACAGAAGGCACAGAAGGCACTGGAAGGCATAATTTCCACACATGGCTCAGCATTTTAGCAGCATGTTGTCTGTGGTCCATTTAACTTACTTCTTTAGCCAAAACAACAAAATGGTTTACACAATTTGGCAATTGTAATATAAAATTTAGAGAGTACTAGGATTTCTAAAATTACAAAATTATTTTAAAACAGGGAGGAGGCAGTAGAAGTTAAGTATTGTACCTAAGTTAATGATTTTTTTTTTCAGAATTTGCCATACTCAAACCCATATAATGCAATAGCATGCATGGCATCCAAGTTCCAGCCCCATGTTTGCCAACTACAAGGGCTGCAAACTCTTCACTTGGAAAATAATCAGCTCTTGGAAAACAAAGAGTTCAGAGTTGTTCAGAGCTGTAGCTCTTGGCATTAGTGAAATAAATTGTTTTGGTTTTATGCTGCGAAAAACATTAAGCTTTACTGCTTAACTCAATACTTCACAGTTAGAGAAAAGGATGGGAAAGACAGAGGCGTGGGGGAGGGAAAAAGAAGGAATGTCAACACTGAAGTAAATAGACTCTCCCAAGCAAAATTAAATACATTACAACACACTCGACATTTCTACTGATTGACTAAATATATGGAAACTTAAAGAAAAAGGTATAGCAAGAAACAATAATAATGAAAACTTTAATGGGCTACATGACATATTGGTCTATTACAGCACAGCAGGAAAGAAGATGCAGCCAGAGAAAAGGACAAAAGCAGATTAGAGCCATCTGTTCACAGCCCAGAATCTGGGCCACTTCCAGAACTGATGAAATTTCCACCATCAATTCTCTGCCTGCTCACTATACCCTCAAAGGAAACCAAGAAATTTGTTGTACATTGGTTGACCTCATTCTGCAAGTCCATCTGCACATGTATGGTCTTACCCATATGAGCAGTTCCTTCAAACAGTATAGTAAGTTACCCAGTTGCACAAGCAACTAAAGGTATTCAACTTTTCTGTTCTCAAGACTGAGATGCCTCCACCACAGATAACATTAAAAATTACAGAAAATGAACAGATTCTTACATCGAAACAGAGCTACACTTACTTCCTTGGAATTGTACATGACTGCAAGGTCACACATGTATGTCATCACAAAAGTAGACTCAACGCTAAAGTTAAGTCAGTTCTTTAATCTAAGACCCATCAGATCTAACTGTAGTACAAAGACACATACACACATTTATCTAGACATCAGGCTGTTAGTGACTCCCACCTCCTCTTTTCCTCCCAGCTGCACATCTAGCTATGGAACTGAACCAAAAAAAAGAAACCACAGGAAAAAAAAAATTACGGAGAAGACAATATCATCATAACAACACAAACCTGGAAGGTCTTTTTTTGGTCAAGATTAAAAATTAGTTCCTTACCAAACACAACATCTACAAGTGGTTCAGACCCATCATGTCTCACATCAGCAGTCACTTCACAGTTTCTATTAGTGGCCTGGATTTTTTTATGGTATATACATCCAAGGAATTGTCTGAAAATATATTTGAAAATATATTAAGTACATTGTAGACATAAATTAGAGTAAGTATATTTCTAAAACTAATTTGACTATCTTGATATTGCTGGGCAACAAAAGTATTAACAAAATAGGATTTGTATTTAATAATTTCAGAGAGGTACTTCTTGAGGTAATCAGTTTTAAAAATCCAGTTAGTTCTTATGTGTAACATGAATAAAGTACACCAAAGAATTTTGCAGAAATTCAGTGTATGCACTCCCTACGTTTCTCTCAGCTGGATTAGTAAAAAAAACAAACCAAACCAACGGTAATTTCCATTTTTCTTTATATTCTGGTTGCTTGCCAATGTTTCATTGTTTGGGTTTAAGGTATTATTTATTTATTTAATAAATCAGTCTCCTGTAAATTTCTGAAAGGCATGACAGCTACTTAAGTTGTGCTACTAAGTTCATTTCAAAAATAGATGTGTCTGTAAAGCTACTGAAAACTGACATTTTACAATTGTTTGGTGCAGAACTTGCATCACTCAAGATTTCTCCAACAGTTAATTATCAAGACTGAGCAGCAGCTGCTGCCCCCTCTCTCCCCCATCACCAGCATTTGGATTAGTGATTACAGATCCGCACCTACAGGCTCTGCAACTGAAAGGGGTACCTCGCTGGGTAGTTTGGTAAAGCACATGGCTATGGGCAAGGGTCTACGCCTGAGATACAGGGATCCTCCAAAAATCAGCACAGAATGAATGCTGTGCGCATCCTGGTAACGCATACATGAACCGAACTCTTATGACAAACACTGTCATCTCACTCCAAAACGTCAAGGTTCTGCCTAGACTAAGCTACAAAGCCCTGATAAATGCAAACCGTCAAAGACCAAGATCATGAAAGTTAAAGTACAGCCGATGCGGAAGTTTGGGAAAAGAAGGTTCTTGTCTAGAGAGGGAACAACAGGTGCTGCCATTTCCCTCGTGATTTGCTCCCAGGACATCTTTTGACTTTTGCTGGCTACAGTGACAGAAAATCACAGGGCGCTGCAGTCACAGCAGTTTTAACGGCTTCGTTCTGCATCTGTCACTGCTGCGACCGGGGCAGCCGCCGGCTGGGAGGGGCCGCTCTCCCTGCTCCTCCGCGGGCAGAGGGGCGCCGGCCTGTGCCTCTCACCATGCCTGGGCTTGCGGCAGGGCCTGGGGCACAGGCCGCACTGCGGACGCGTGTAACCCCAGCCTCTACACTCCTAAATAAATAAAATTAAAGGCAACAAGTCCAGCCCTCACATCTGCCGCGAAACGTACAGAACCCACGCCCCGGGCACAGGAAGGGCGCTGGAGGGGTTACAGCCAGGGGAGCCCGGCCAAGGCCTCCTCGCCGGGC